CTTTATATATTTTCCCCTTTATATATACATTATAATGTATAATAAATAATTATATATATATATATATACACACACACACATACATACATACATACACTGTTGAAGCTATCACAGTTTTCTCGTTTTTTGTGGAAACAGTCAATTTTGAAACAAAACTTCTATGAAGAGAAATATTTAAACCATTATTGGGAATGACTTACATTAAAAGTTCCTTAATGTAAGAAAAACGTAAAGAGAATTTAAACTTAATTTAAAGAGAAAGAGCAGTATAAGAAATGCTAACACTAAATCCAAAGGAGATCCTAACATTGTGTTATTTCTTGATGATTGTTGGCAAAGAAGTATCTTTATGAAGAACAAAGAAAAAGTGATATGGATAGACTTTTTACCATCTGTTTCCCTTGTGGTATTTTTATTTTTATTTAAGACCCCAATGAAACATAATTTTCCAATTTTCTCCATGTATTTTTATAGTTTGCTTATACTGAATGAGAAGCAGTTTTGCAAATAACCTGTGCCACCTGCAAAAACCATTATCCTTTTGTAACTGTCTACTCTCCCATTATGCGTTTTTATCAAGACTTGTACTGAAGACAGGTTAGTAAGCTAAGCATCTTTTGACAAAAGCCATATTACAAACTTCCTGATTCTACCACTTGCAGAGTTTCCTTACAATGTGTATTAAAATTGCTTCCTTTCCTGCCACTTGGGAATTTAACCTGTAACTCTCCAGCTTACTACATCTCTGGTCAGTTTATACAATATGCTAATATCCTCTATTTACCAAAGCTTTGTAAACAAAATGAAGGCAATTTTTCCACAGCTGTGATAGACAAGAATTACATTTTTTTCTTACTTTCTTACATTTACCATAAGACACTAGCTTTTTCTATGATTTAAAAACTGATTAACACAAAACATTTTAGAGCACAATATGTTGAAAAAAATACATGATTAATTTAAGCTTCAATCGCATGCAAATTTATTAGGGTTTTTAAAAATAAACTCTAAATGGTTTAATTCTAGGTAATACATAGGTTTGAAGTGTTATGATTTCATGCAGGCCTAGATTTCACCCAAATGGTAAAATTAAACATAAACCTATCCAGCATACACGTTTAAATTCGTCCTCAGCTTTTGATTTTAGACCTTTTCTTAGACTGTCTATTGTACCAACAGTTTTGTACAGAATATCTTCAGCTTATTTCTTTCTTTCTTTTTTAATTGGGACTGTGTACATTTTGTTAAGACTGCAGATTGGTTGCTAGGATTACCCTTTAGCCTTTTGGTTCTTTAATTAGGTATCTTAGAAGTCTCTTGAACTTCTCTCAGGTTACTGTACAGTCTTAAAAGATAAATACCAGGGTCAGCAATTTTCTTTGGCTAACACCTTACCAGATGTACAACACTAAAGGGCATTTTGGGTACCTGTAGACCCAAAATAAAGAACTGACTAGTCAGTTCTGCATACTCTAAATACCTAAAAGTACTGCCAGATAAATATATTTTCATTTTTATGATGGGCTGCTGCCACTGCTTTTTAGAAATTAAATACTCTATAGAAAGGTACAGAAACACTTAGCAATCAAAATCAATTCCTCTTGATTCTTGATCACAATATTGCTTTACAGTTGTCCTTGACTACTATAATGTCCTTGAAATACAGGATAAAATCTGCAGTCTGTAACAGATGTTTTTGGAAGGCACATTATCTGCCCAGCAAAGACTACCACTTCAATAATTGCTTTAGAAGCCGGTGTCCATGTACTAATGTAATGTTTGCTTAAGAAGACAGAAATATCATGTTACAAGCTTTACAAATTCCACCTGTATTAAAATTAAGGCCATATTTCCAAAATATTTTCCAGACCCTAAGGCACTAAACATTTATATCTGGAAATAATTCCACTAAATCTCATACAACTTATTTCTGAGTAAACCTATATATACTGGAACACTCTCAATTGAAACATTTTTAGTTCCTCCCTTTTTAACAACTGTAAGCCAGGTGGCGGGCCAATTCCAAACACTTAGTTATCTGAAGCTGTTTTACTCTGGTTTCAGGTAAGGGCAAGAAAAAAAGACAACTTTGATTGATCTGATAAATGATTTGCTGGAAGACTGTAACAGGGAAACAATGTCTCTGTGCCAGTAACTCCTGGATCTCTCAGCAGCCTTTCATATTACTGATCACTAAGCCCTTCTGGAACACTTGGAAGTTGGATAGCAGAGACTATCATGGTGCTGCTCCTACTTTGATGGCAGCCAACCTCCAGTCCTTGGACCAGCACTTTACGGCCTTCCAGAAACCGGGCCATGCAAACAAGTCCCATCCGCGGGATGCAGGCAACACACAAAACCACACCCCCTCCAGTCCGCAGAAAAACCTCTCTCCATAGAACTGGTCCCTAGTGCGCAAAAGGTTGGGGGCCACTGTTCTAGATCCAGTATCAGGATTAGAATTGCTAGGGAACTGCAGGGTTCTGTTCTGTCTCCTATGTTCTTCAATATTTATATGAAACCTCAGGGTATGATTGTCAGGAGGTATAAAACTGGATTTAGACAACTTTCTATTTTTTTCTATTTTCACAAGGTGTTTTAGTCTCTGTAATCAGCTCCTCCTTGGACCAGACTGTGCTATTGATGAACCATTAACCTGGATCTAGATAAATCAGTGGATTTGGTTGTTGGTGATAACTCTAGTACAAGGAGCATTTTTCCTCCACTGGCAAGATTGCATTTCCACTGAAAGAAGTTTGTAACTTTAGGGTACTACTTGATTTAATATTGTCATGAATACTTGGCTGGACATAGGGATGAGGGATACTTTTCTTTTAGCTGTATGAGTTATTAACTTCACCCCATCCAGAATGGACCTGACCTGAATTTTGTGATTTGTTTACTCCTTACCTCCTGAATAGATTACTGTAATGTACATGGGATGCACTTTTATAACTTTATGCTATGGCAGATATGGATAATGTATATTTTAAGTGGTATTTTGTGAATATTTTACTACCATTCATTCTTCATCAATGCTGTTTGAACTGATATTGTTTCTTCATAATGTTTGTTGTTGTATTGTGAACAATCAATACAATACCACTTGTATAAATTTAGAAATGAATTTAAAGTTTCCATTGCAAAGCTTTTTCAAAACAAAATATTACCTGACTAGTCAAAATAAATGATAAACAATGATTTTATAAACCATTAGAGGAAGCTAGTGAGGCATTATGATATACATTATGGTGAATTCAATCACATTCAAGCCTAAAAAAAAGTCCTTACACTATTCAGCAGGACTAAAATGTAGTGAATGACATTCTCACACATACACCAAATCTCCACATCAGTAGCCAGTTTGACTCATAAACTCCAGAATGGAAAGCAGAACATAAATCTAACAAAGAATAAAATATGTAATCGGCCCCAAGTCCTGTCATAGATTAGGCTCATGGTGTAAATGTAACTTCAGTGAAAACTGTATTTTGCATTATCCTGGTGCTCAAAACCGTAATATTCTGTACTTGATAAAGCTGAAAAATTGTCATTGTACAAGGTTTATCTTTGTGTTTGCTATAGTAACCACACTGAAACCCTGATTTACTTAGTGGAATTAAGTTATATGTTCTAGTATAGCAAATCCTCTTCATCCAGAATAATGCTCAGTTCTTCATTCTGTATTCATTATAATTTCCCTATATCAGAATTTCCCACATTGTAGAAAATTCCAAATTTAGTTCCTTAACCAGGGTAGCAGGGTAAGAACTGATTAAAGAAATATTCATCCAAGCAAGCCCTCTTCCTAGTGGCATGTGTATTTCCTATCTTTGCTATCTTTAAACACAATAATTAAACCATAAATTAGGGTTTGAGATACTTAACTGCTCTTAAACATGATTAAAAAGTATCTACTGTATCTTGAAATTACTTAAACATGAAGAAACGTCAAATTACATCATCTCTAATGGGAAGTCTATCTTTTGTCACAAATAGATACCTGCTATCAAACTAAGCCATAACAATAGAAATAACTTCTAATCCCTTTGAAACGAATGCAAGTTGTCATCTTAACCTTAAAGGAATACAGACTTTCTATAGAACACAAAAGCTTAGATACAAAACTGTGGAATGGGCAGATCCATTCTACTACAATAATCTGTTGCTTTTCCAAAATTATCTAACAAATAATTCAATGAGGCCGATGTTAAGAAACTGAAGCATGAGTCACACACATAAGTAACCCTGATGTGAAACTCCCAGAACAGCCAAAAAGTCTTTTTGTCATGAAATCTTCACATTTGTCAACAATCTTCTAACAAGTATTTCTGACATATACGGGAAATACTAGGCCACATAAGTAGCAAACTTTTTCCTCCATATAATATTTGTGAATAGTACATTTTGTGCCATAGAAGAGATCAAAAACAAAACTAAACTGTAAAGTCTGCTTATCAGATTGGCATAATCCATAAACCAAACAGCATAATACATCCACAACACATTATGCTTTGATTTGGAAGCAGGATAGCTAATTATACTGCCTTTTCTTCTTCAACGTAAATCCTACCCTCATTTTCTAAGATGAAGCAAATAGTGTTTGCATTCAGATAATGTTATATGGGCTTGTCTGATACTTTGCTTGCCTTTAGAAACTGCCCCATTATTATTTCAATGTGTTTTTGATACGAGTTGAACTGAATGTTCCTTGTGCCTTTATATATTATTTCATAGTTACACATGCTTTATTTTTGAAATTCATTTTGCTCATTTTTATAGCAGTATTAAAACACTCTGTGATTGTTAGCCACATATTCACATTTGCAGATGGAAAACTCTGATGAAATATTGTTTAGATAAAAACTTTAAACTAAAAATAATCTGCTCCTGGCATAGAAAAATCAGGACAATATACCAATGGTATATTTTTGGTATGTAAGTGTGGATACAGAAAGATTTCATTAATACTACAATCATTTTTCTTTGTAATAACTAACCTTTACATCAGGTTCTGGTGATACTTTATCCACTTTGTTGTTGCTAAGTTTACTTTTCACCCATTCTTCTACTTGCGCATTGAATTTCATGAAAGTCACATAGCATATATATGCACTCAGCAATATTAAACTTTCCCACCACCTAATGAAATTATCCAAAAAAAAGATGATTAGCAGTATCAAGCCTAGGATGTAAAAGGATACATCCCGAAAGAGTGGCCACCAAGTAAGGTGCAAAATCTGTTTAGAAAATAAAGCACACATCCCAATCACAAACAGGATGTTGAATACTGCAGATCCAACTATTGTTCCAATGCCAACATTGCTGTGAGATACAAAGATTCCTATTAAAGAAGTAAAGAGTTCTGGGGCTGAGCCACCAGCGGCCATAAAGGTTGCCCCAGCAACATCATCAGAAATTTCCAGTTTTTCTGTGATGACTGTCAGTGAAGGAACAAAGAACTCATCACAGACAATAGCTAAGGCTACAAACATGTAAATCATCCCAATGATATGAAGGATCACAGCACCCCGTCGTCTTTCCGCAAGAGAAAAAAGATCTGTTGGGTAGTCCCCATGAGAACGTTCTGTGTGGTTATTAAATTCATCTGTTAATTTCAAAGGAATAGGTGAATCTGGAGTATTGTTTTGATTCTGTTCTTGATAGCCCAATAAAGTTCTTTGATGCACTGACTTGGACTTTTCACTATCCGGACTGCTGATTGTCTTTGTGCTATAAGGTTCCAACTGGAAAAAGGCACTGACTGAAAGTGAAAGTGTGCTCATGGCCATAATACCCAGAAAAAGTCCTGTTATCCGAATCAGTCTCTGTTTTTTCCTTATATGTTGATGTTTCTTAAAGCCAAATGATGGCTCCTGCAGATACCATTCTTCCAAAAAATGAGCAGCAATATTTTTGTACTGAACCATTTTTGAAGTAAGTTTGTTTGTGGTCCAAGAATTCAGAGTCCAATAGGTTTTTCTTTCATACTTCCTTTATTCTTCAGATAAATGGTACTGTGACATTTCCTCTGAACCAAGGATTTATGAAGCTCATGCCTTTGCTATGATTAAAAAGATAAATATTTTCATCAGTTTAGAAATGTTTGACATCAGATGCATCTAAAAACATTGTCCTGTAAACACACTTTAAAGTTTAATGTGCTGTAACATGCAATAAGTTTACAATAAAAACAAATTTATCCAATATTTCTTAATATTATGCATGCTGGGAAATTTGGAATTATCTTAAAAGCTAATCTTTCAATGTCAAATTTGAACCTTGCATCCTTTGATTCTATTTATTTAATTCCTATAAAAGAATTAGTATCTTTTTTTTCACGATTCCAGAGCAACAATTTCATAATAGCTTCTTTCTACTTATTACTTTTTTTGGCATGCTTGTCAAATTTATTGAAGCTGATTTTGTGTGCATTAATAAACCAGCATAAATTCATTACTACATTAACAACAGGAAAATGAACCTTAAATATTGTCAGGGAAACAAAATGGAAAGATGTTCTGCTTTCATTTTTATATTCACCTAAAAACACTAAGCTATTCTAGTTTTTGGTTAACGGGTCTAACGGAAGTCTAAACAAAGTGGCACCTAGGTACTAAAGAAGTATCTAAGTAGTGAATCAATCTTCAAATTAACATGCCCAATTAGAATATGATGTTTGTTATGCTTTCAAATAGAGCAGAAAATGTAAAAATCTTCCACATTTCCTTGTATCTTTCTCTAACTATCCACCACAGATCGGTAAATACACAACCTAAGAATTAAATTAAATCTTCTCTTTCCCAGAAAACAGTATTCCTGTAAGCATATCTAAAGTTAAGGAGTTAAATATCTTCTCTTTTTTTAGGTCTATTCTATTTCAACTCTTATTATTGTGCACTTTTGGCAATACACTGATTACACTGCAGTGCAGAAACAGGGCTCCTTGTACTGCCTTACTGTTGCTTCGAAGAAACTATTCCCCAAAACGATATCATTGAAATCTTCAAAAACCCGAATTCCAAACCAAATTTTCTAATTCAGCTCTGGGAATCCATAAAGAACACCCATGTCACCTCTCTCACCCTCTTGGGATTAAAGGCCAGAGTCAATAGCCACCCTGCAGATCCACTACTAAAAAAAGAAAAAGTAATTAAAATTATGTAATTAAGCTTGGTACAGGGCACACGCATCGATCTACGAAGTAATCCCTTTCGCTCTCACTTCTTACTCCCGAGTAGATACAGATTGCCGTGCTGGACCTCCCAAAAGGTTCATGACCCCCAAATGGTATGCCTCCTTTTTACGAGGATTCCCTAATTGTGGAGCCAATTTTTTGTGGCAGGGCGAGAACTTGGCGAGAGGAAGTTCTTCATCCCACCCTTCGGAAAGTTCAAGCAAGAAAGAGCTGCGCCTTCGCCCCGAAATAAGGAGACGAGGGCAATATCTGCTCCTTGGCGAAGCCGCCCCAGGTTCAAGAAAGCAAGAGCCCCGACGGCAGGTGGATCAGCCGGAGGGAAGCGCGGGCTGGCAGCCTCTCTGCAGCTCCCTTCCTCAGACTTTCTCCAGCCTCCACGGAGATGATGCCACAAACGCTGCAGCCCTCCCGACGCCGAGGACTCCAGAGCCGGCCACCCTCCCTCGTCGAAAGAAATGCCCGAGCCCTTCCTCCCCGCTCAGAAGCCACGGGCAAACCGGAGAAGGTCAGGAGAAGGGACGAGTCGCCGGCCGGCTGACCGACCGCTGCAGCCGCCTCTTACCGGGCCACGTGAGAAGACGAGCGCGGGCTGAACTCCGGCCCGCGCTCCCGCGAAGACGAGCACCAGCCTCTGCCTGCGCCTCTTCTCGCCGTCCGGCTTCACGGCGGGAGCCACGCCCACCCCAGCCCGGCCCCCGGAGGCAGCGGCACGCGCCGGCGAGCCTCCCTCTCGCGCTCGCCCCGGGACCCGAATGGACGGGCGCCATGGAGAAGGCGGGGCGCGGGCGTGCGCGCGGGCTTTTGAGGGTACCACGTCTTATCTCGCTTAGCCACGAAGCTTCCTTCAGTAAAATCCTTCACGGGCTTGTTGTGAAAAAGTCTTTGCGCTTAACGAACACAACTGAGCCCCGAATGTATGTTGCTAAGTGAAGCATTTGTTGAGAGGGCTTTGCCCTTTTTACGACTTCTCTTGTCACTGTTGTTAAGGGAATCGTTGCAATTGTTAAGTTAGTAACATGGTTGTTAAGTGAATCTGGCTACCCCACTGATTTGGCTTGTCAGAAGGTTGCAAAAGGTGATCCCGTGACCCCAGGACACTCTAAATACAAACCAGTTTCCAAGCATCTCTAACTTTTGATCGTATGGCCATGGGGATGGTGCAATGGTCATAGGTGTGAAAAACAGTCATAAGTCACTTTTTTCAGTGCAGTAACTTTGAATGGTCACTAAATGAATGGTTGTAAATCAAGGACTGCTTGTACTCTAAACTCTTTGGGAATTTAAACACAAGTACGCCGAGATTAAACCAATCATTTTATGAGGGTTATTGTGTGCTATAGGCTGTTTCCAAAACTTCCTGCTCCCCTTGCCCACACATTGCCAATGCAGTTCTAGGCTGCATTAACAGAGGAACAGAATCAAGATCACCTGAAGTATTGAGACCACATTATAATGCCTTGCTAAGATCATGCTTGGAATATTGCATCCAGTTTTGGTCACCAAGATATAAAAGAGATGTTGGGACTCTAGAGTGCAGAGAAGAGCAACAAAGATGATTAGGGGACTGGAGGCTAAAATATATGAAGAACTAGTTTGGAATTGAGTATGTCTAGTTTAATGAAGAGAAGAACTAGGGGTGATATGATAGCAATGTTCCAATGTCTAAGGGGCTGCCACAAAGAAGAAGGGGATCAAACTATTTTCCAAAGCTCCTGAAAGCAGGACAAGAAGCAGTGGATGGGAAACTAATCAAGGAGAGAAGCAATTTAGAAATAAAGAGAATTTTCCTGACAGTTAGAACAATTAATCAGTGGAACACCTTGCCTCCAGAAGTTGTGGGTGCTCTAACACTGGAGGTTTTGAAAAAGAGATTGGAGAACACTTGTTTGAAATGGTATAGGGCAGTGGTGGCAAACCTATGGCACGCATGCCAGAGGCAGCACTCAGTGCCCTCTCTGTAGGCACATGTGCTGTGCCCGGAGGTGGCAAGGGATTGGCCCCTGCTACCCTGGCCCCGCCCACCCAGTCTGCCATGACCACCGTGGCCACGCCCACCCGGCATCCCGTGATAAATGGGTTTTCGGTTGCAGTTTGGGCACTGGGTCTCTAAAAGGTTCGCCATCACTGGTATAGGGTTTCCTGCTTGAACAGGGGCTGGACTAGAAGACCTCCAAGGTCTGTTCCAACTCTATTATTCTGTTTCTAAACTTTCTGCAGGGGAGAACCATTCAGGAATTGGAAAAGCAGCAATGCAATAAATAAGAGGGCCAAAACAGAGTAATAGCTGAATGCCCACATCTCCCTAAGCCTCTTGTTTTAATCATTGTTTGTTGAACAAGCAACAGGCAACCCCCTTTATTCATTGGAACAAGAGACTCACGGCCCTAGGTTCCTGCGCAAAACTAAAGCATAGTTTGCAAAGGACAATTGCTGGCGCTGAACACAAACAAAGAATCCACACATTACCTTAGCATGAAAAGTAAGTCCAATTCTCCAAAGCTTAAAAAGCACAAAAAATGCCAATGAGGACTTTAGAATGAGGATTTAATTGTGCCACTGTTTTATTCCAGGTACTATTTTCAGAATTTGTATGCATGAACAGTAAATAAGTAATAACCAGAATTATTCCAATGCTATTTGCTAAAATTTTTGCCAGGAGTAATCTTGACAACAAAGTGAAGAGACTGTAATAAGGTGACCTAATAGATGGTTTGCCTGCCAGAAAGCTTTTAAAAACAGTAGTGGTGAACAAATTCCGACTGTTTAGATTTTTTATGTGTTTTTTTTTCTTTGTCAGTTTCTTGAATGGCAGACTTTTAAAATGTTAGCTTTTCCTAAGTATTGTAATGCATTGATGGGAAAAATACATCACTGGGTGTTTTTCGGCCATTCTTGCAACTGTGAAAGAGCACGAAGCCTTGCATTAGAATAAATAACAATAAATAATCCTTAAATTGAATCCAAAACTTTTTTCAGTGCTGAAATATTAGTAGCTGCCCTGTGTACATACAGAGTCCCTTATCATTTCAATAATCAACAATCAATTCAGTAATAAATAAGCTCAGACCAGAGGCCATAACCATCTCTCTCTCTCTCTCTCTCTCCCTCCACCCTCCCCGCCTGCCTGCCTGCCAGCCATGTGGCTTGGTGATAATTCCATCCCATCAGTTTTCAGTAAATATCTGTGGAGATTCACAGTCATCCAGATCATAGTTGTCCCAAAGGTGCTTTTTCATAAGGCAACAGGACTTTCTGGTTTTTTGGTTTTTTTTTTTTTTTTAAGATGTTTTGCTTCTCATCCAAGAGCTGAAGAAGCCTCTTGGATGAGAAGCGAAATGTCTTCAAAGAAAAACAAAGTCCAGTTGCCTCATGGAAAAGCACCTTTGGGATCAGTCTTCACTACTGTACTTTCTTTCTCTTGACCACTATATGGCCACAATTCTACAGTCCAAAGGACATCCCAATGTCCTCTGTAGAGCTGTGCCAGGTGGATCAGCAAGTCAATGTCTCATTCACTCCTAGCATACACCTTGATGTCCTGGTGAGAATGAAGGGCACTCGGGTATAAAACAGAAGAGGAAGCAAATGCACAGTCAGCCATAAAGGGCTCAGATGTCTGTACACTAATGCTGTAAGTATGGGGAATAAGCAAGGAGAACTTGAAGTCCTAATACATGAAGGTAGGTATGATATTGTTGCTGTTACTGAGTCTTGGTGGGATGGAACCTATGATTGGAACATACTGCTAGAAGGATATAATTCATTCAAAAGAAACACCCAACAACAGAGGAGTACTACACCTTTACAAAAACACACAACAACAAGGACAAAAGCTCCACTGCTGGAGGTTTTCAAGAAAAAAATTAGACAACTATTTGTCTGGTATGGTAAAAGATCTCCTGCCTTGGGCAGTGGGTTGGATTAAAAGACCTTCAAAGTCCTTCCCAGCTTTATGGTTCTATAAGCTGAAGTCCACACCAGAGAAAGCCACTTGAACTGGGCAAGTATCTTGTTGAAGAGCACAATTATTCATTGATTCTTTTCTCCTAAACGCTCTCTCTAATGTCAAGAAATATTGCAGACTAGCACTTGACAATAGCAGTCACAAAGATCTTGGGAAAGATATCCAAGTGCTGTGACACAGCTACAATCATACAAGCCCCAGTATTCCCCATGACGTTCTATAGAAGTGAAAGTTGGACTTTGAAGAATCAGAATCGGAAAAGTCTTTTGAACCTTAGTGTTAGTGTTTAAGAATATTGTGGACAGCCAAGAAAATAAACCAATGGATCATCGAGCAAATCAACTCAGAGTTCTTAGTCAAGGCAGAAGTGATCAGACTCAAATTATCCCACTCTGGACACATTCCTTCTCTGGAGAAAGCTCTGAAGCTGAGAAACGTGAAAGGAAAGAGAAAAAGAGGATGTCCAGTAGCAAGATGGATGGATTCAGTTACAGTGTGATGGGCACATGCCATTAGGAGACCTAAAAGATCAGGTTAGAGATAGATCATTGTGGAAAACATCTATCTATGTAGTTGCTAAGAGTGGAAAATGAGTTAATAGCATATGATTAATCAGTATTGATCATATTTTTTCCTGTATTTAGATTTAAATGAACTGGTTACCTAAATCATGGGTCCCCAACCCCTGGGCCGTGGCCCGTTCAGAACCAGGCTGCAGAAACGGTAGGTGAGCACACATGCAGCTCCACTTGTGTATGCAGCAGGTAGATGAGCACACGTGCGCAGCTCCATTTGCGTGAGCGGTGGATGCACATGCCCACCACTTGCGCAGAACCATCCCTCCCCCCCCCCCCGTCTGCAAAGCCAGAAAGGTTGGAGACTGCTGACCTAAATTATACTTCTGAGTTGTATAAACATCTCTTCATGTGGAAGATTGGGAAAAAAGAGGACCAAATGAGAACATCTAAATAGTAGCTAAAAGCAGTAAATGCTAAACTTGGAAATGCTGATGAGTGAGATTACCATGACTACAAAAGTGGCATTTTTAAATACAAATTGGGGCTAGGCTTTTAAATGCTAATTGCAATTGAAAAATAGAAGAGGATCGAAACTGCAATCATTTTCCTATTACTTCATAACTCGTGCCCTCTTTAAGGAACAGAGCTAGAGGAAACAAAATGCAAATCATATGACATGAATAGAAAGAGATGTGAATAATAATTTCGCAGGTCATAATGGAAAAAGCAAAGCATCCGTCAGTAATCCAATATAGTAAAATACAAAGGGATTTGGGTGAGAAATGTCAAATTTACTCAAGCACAGAATTTAAGGGAGAATTTTTATAAAATGTTTTATAGATGGCACCTTGATCCACAAAAAATGTCTTACATGTACCCTGACGTGCAACCTAAATGCTGGAGATGTGGTTATAAGGAGGCTTCCTATTATCAATTTGGTGGTCATGCAGAGAGATAAAAGCATTTTGGATCAAAATATGGTGGAATATCCAGAGAATTTTTAGAAGGAGGGTAAAATTTACTCCGCAATTATTTTTGTTAGGTATTGTTACAGATTGTGATACAAAGGAGGTTGTATTGATGTTAAATTTGATCACAGCCGCGAGGCTGTTAGTTGGACAATATTGGAAGAAGGAATCTTTGCCTACATTGCAGGAATGGTTTTTTAAAGTAGTGGCGGAAATGGCAAAGATTTCGGCTTTCTTAAAGCAACAAACGCAAGAGAAGTTTTTTGCTATCTGGGACAAATGGATAAAATTTATACAATTTAGATTGGGTATACAAAAATATCAT